CAGCAGTCTTTCTTGGATAAACTTCCCCCAGTACAGAATGGCTTGCCATAGTAAGGTTGACGTGGGGAGAGAAGTATCGGACTATGAATTAGCGCATCTTTAAACATATTATTCTACCCATCATTTTATCTAAGAAGGTGTATGGACACGTGAAGCTTTGCATCATCGAAAACCAAAAGGGGATTGTCATGCCATTACATTTGTTTAGTCGCGCGAGGTAGGCCTTAGGTTGCAGACCATCAAGCACAACCTTTAGACAAGCATCCTTGATTTTTAGTGACCCCATGCAAGTCGTGTCTTCCACTCATCTTCCCAAAGGAAATGAAAGATCGAGGAATAAGATCTTATGTTCGAAGAATAATATGTTGTGGTCTTGAGTTTGTTCGTAGTATACTTTTAGCGCAGGGCGTTGACTTTGCCTTGCTTTTGCAACTTGATCAGTATCGGGGAAGCCTGCGGAACAAAACGTCTTAAAATGTATCAAGTCAACGCTCCGGTGCTAAAAATTATCTTGAATAATATGGCAAAAGATGAAAAAATAGCTTCGCTTCACATGGTCTCCCTGTCGCTCCGACCAATTTGAGTAACGAGGTCAAATTAGCACTAGAGGAATAAGATTTTATTAAGGGCTTCTTCATAGCTCATTTTTGACTTATCTCTGCTTCCGCAACCATCATTTTTATAACTCGCAATAAAGTAAATATATTAATTTTCATACACTTATTATTTTATCTAATTTCTATTATCGTCTATTTAGGACTCGTTATTCTGCTAGGAATCCCTCTGTGCACTTACAAATTTTAAAGGGAAATATTTAGTTGCATATATGCTAATGAGGTTCCTCACTAACAAAGTGGTGGGCAGGACTCTAAAAGGTGAGTGACAAAACTGGAAGATTTGTTAATAAAGGAAATAAAGTTATCTGTCAACAGAATCAAGGGCGGAAATCAGAACTAATACATGCCTGTAGTGATATGCCACTGCTTCGGGTTTGTCATTTGTCCATATGCTGCCAACTTTTATTGAATTATTCTGCACCTTTAAACGCTTCTTAAATAGATTCGAACGTTGACCAACACGGCGTCAGAGCGTATTCCACAATGGCTCTAACAGAAGAAATGGTATCCTCTTACCCCAGGATAGCCAGGCTTTCTCGTATGAGGGATAAGGAGAAGCAAAGTCCAGGCCGTAGGGCAAATGTGGACCCTGGTCGACTGGAACCTTAAGGGAACTTGACCAAGTCTTGAAGAGGAAATCTCTGGGCGGCCGTGGAACATGGACGTGAAAATTGCATCTGTCCCTCAATCGCGAAATGATCAAGCCTGCTAAGAGTGCGTTCATGAATTCCTGATGTTGATTCCGACTGGAATTTCGACTGGAACTCTGACTTTTGCTTGGAGTACTGCTTCTGCCTCCTTGTCCCATTGATGGAAGCAATAGGTAAGTCAGAAAACATGAGATCAAAGCCAAATATGTTACTACATGCATTTCTGTTGCTCGTTTCAGGACCCTAGATTCGGATGACAATGAAAACCAGAGCTTCCGGCTGGAAATTGTCCGCGAAAGTAAGCGCTTGAGTCAATTTGTGAATGTTCAAGCCTTAACTCGGAGTTGCGACAACGCCGAAAGCGCAAATCCCTCCTCTCCGTTTAAAAAGCACAGATCACTCACATTGGTACTATTCTTGTTTCATTTTCGTGACTTACTCGCCTTATGAACGTGAGCGAGGCATCACACACATAAACACACGCGCCCACGCACAAGAGGATTCAGTGTATCTCGAGTTTCTTTCAAACCTTCTGCTGCATAAGTACAGAATCACATACGCAAAACAGTCCCTAACCCAGAGATAAGCGAGCATACTATCAACTTCGGAGTGCATACTTTCTCGAGTGCAGAGAATGTAATAGTCTATGCAGAAGAAAGTAAAGTTCTGCTATTGTTGGGACTTTTATTTGGTATGGAAGTGTATGAATAAGGGATTCGAAGGTCGATCTCATCAGAAGAGGATAGTTGAATCTCGTTGTACAGCGGCCGTTTGGCTTTTATACGATGTTGAGATTGGTGCAGTCCACGAGGCCTCCTCTCTCTTTTCGGTTCAAAACGGGCTGAGCTTACGTCTATCATATGATGAACATCATCAGAGTTGGGATTCATTCTTGTAAAACTCTCAAGTTAACACTAAGACAATAACACTATCCGGCTCTCTCTTACCTCTTACATAGTCTCATTTAGGCAAAAGAGAAGTTGAGAACATGGATCAATATTGAATGATTTTGTTAATTAACTTTATTCTTATTTAAGTAGAGTTGAGAGACTACCAGTAAATCAGTAGTATGAGATGTATTTAAGGTGATAAAGAACTGGTAGTACAATTTTCCCACAATAATATGAGTGGAGCTGACATTTCCATTAAATTTAGCACTCGTGACAATGTGGCCAAGTTTTTAACGTGTGAAGCCCACATTTTGCACTGTCACGGTTCGACTCCCGCTGGGGCTGTTGATAAGACCGACGCGAGGTCGAAACTGCAGTCCACTTCAGCCGGAATGAAAACAACTTTTGGAGAAGCTAGGCTCTGTGAAATTGGATGTAAAAGTCAGCTCTACTCATGTCATTGTGGGAAAATTCTACTACCAGTCCTTCATTAACTTAAACGAAATACGGTGAATACATCTCATATAACTTTATTCTTTTGGATGGCGGTTCAACACCTTTTCTCTACTTTAAATCTATCAATCAAGCATAAGTAGCTCCTACTCAACTTTATACCACCGTTCCTCACATTCAACATATTTTCTAAGCTAATAATTTCAATAGCCTTTCTTATCTTTCTTTAAACCACAGACGTACTATAATCAGCAAACCTACTTGTTTGAGACCATTTTATCTCATGCCCTGTTTTTACCATGTGTTCGGCTTCTTCTGATCGTTGAGCCCAGTTTCCTTCACAAGCATTTTTGTGTCGAATAGGTCGGCATGCCTCACCAACATAACATCGACCACAGGAACAAACAATCTTGTAGCGGCTGGAACTCGATAATGGGTCATATTTCTCTTTAAAAAATGGTATAACAGAAGAAATTGTGAGGGTTTCTTCAAGCACTGTTTCTATCCCTCACTTCCTTACTAATTCGCCTATCTTATTTAAAAGAAGGCATGATGGTAAAAACTACGATATGGGAAATCGTCTCAGCTTGTCTATCTTTGACTAAATGGTCTCCGTCTGAAAATTTATTCATATTAGATGTATTCAACCACAATGATATAAGTAGAGCTGACGCTTCCATTGAGCGAAATAGGATAAATACATCTCATATAACTGATTTGCTGGTAGTCTCGACACTACTTATTTATGAAATTGTATTCCTCAGTAAAGAGATATTATTCTCAATAGGCCTCAAAGGATAATTATTCTTCAGTAATAAATTTGTCAGTCGTTTCAACTTCTTATTCAAATGTTTGCTATCTGCTAGCCTCGTACTCTTAATAATCGTTGAAAATAGTAAACTATCTAAACTTTCCTTACCTTGAGGCTAGATGGCAAAATAGTCATCTTTGTATCTAACCGACAATTTGGGGGTTAATATTGTCTCAGATATGCAAATGCATAAAATAACTGCGAGGACTGTGAACAAAAATGCATCGCAGAGACAGGAAGGACAATCATAACAAAGATCAAAGAGCACCAGCGACTGTGCAGAAAAATGTATATGGAAAGATCGGAGATAGCTGAACACATCGCCCTTACCGGCCGCACAATTGACTGGAGGGTCTCATATGGGGAAAACACCAGGAAACTGAAGATCAGGAAGGCTGTGGACATGCTCTTTCAAAGAAATTTGATGATCGGGCGACTGGAAGAAAGGAGAGTCAGCGATAATTGGCTGAGCAGACTTGGAGATCCAATGAAGACATCAGAAAGAAGAAGCTTGGAGCCGGGACAACTGTTCAACGACATGAAGAGAGGTTGTTTGACCTTGTTTTCGCAACATGGTCATATTGGTAGGAAGACTAATTAAAACGCACCTAGTCCGGGGTCCATTGTCTGCATGACCATTTCCAAAGTTGAACCATGGACGTGGAACATTCCTAAACGTTTCGCCGGCATCGTAGTCGGCATCGTCAGTGAGAATGGCCATCATAAGCACCAC